AATTTTCTCAAAAAACTTCACCTGTCCATTGGGCAAGTTAAGGATAAAATATAATCCACTAACCCAATTAGAAATTAAATACACATCTAACCCTCAAGGTTATTGGACATATCTTTCTTTGCAAGCTTTGTCCATCTTGCAAGATTTTGTGGGGTTATGCAATTATTGCATAATCCCATATAGTCGTCAGTGATCTTGAAGGTTTGAGGACGTGATGAAATTTGAGAATCACTCCCCCGATGAGAGTTAAGAAGGAATGTCCATTAGGACCGAGCCATATCGAAAATATGTGGCAGATGATGAAAAATCAAAATTTTACATATTCCTTGCAGAGATGGTAAGCCTAGAAACATGGTGGGATCTTTTTCTTGAAATAGTTTTTTAATCTACTGACTCCTGTGCTGGCTATAACTGGCTGTGCGAAAACCCACCCCCAATTTCCTGTGCCGGCCCTAACCAGCGGTAAAAAAGCACGTGAGGACAATTGCCTTTCCTACCCTCCTGGAGACGTTTTGGTTCTCCTATTGTTCTATTGTTGTTAAGGACAAATAAACCAATCAGAATGGACTTTCTAAGCATATTTTTAGGCGACTTTAGGGGTCCTAGAGAGACGGTTTTTCGTCTTGAAATCATGCACTCGAAAAGTGCAGTTAAGCATGGCGCGTTGCGGGCCAAATCTACAAACTTCCAGGGTCATGTTTTCATTCCTAAAAAGGAGAAATTACTTCTTTGGCACTTAAAATGGAAAGGAAAAACATAAATCGATGTTTAGGTGGCCTCAGAATGAAAGATCAATGTGTTCAGAGTCCTCAAACCTGTCTGGTAAAGAATTTTTCCTTCCTTCAAGCGCCATGAAAACATGACGATCGGTGCACTTTCAAGTGAGTTTTGAATACAGATCGCGGATTTAAAGCAGCTTCCTGGACTTAAGAAAACAAAAATGGTAATGTACAGGTATTCCTTCAAAGTTGAATTCAACTTTTAGAACAATAATTGGTAAAGCCACGGCCGATAAAATAACTACAAAACTCGTTGGCAAAATCTCAAGCTTTCGCTTTAGCGTGAAAAATTAATTTTAACATGCGGTCATGTAGCGAATCACGTCTGCAAAATTTTGAACATTTTTATGCTGTTAGGTAAGTGTTTTTTGCCTTATCTTGAATGAAAATTTATTGTTATTGAACTCCCTGTCATGTTTCTTTCATTTGGTTGCATTTATTTGGGAATTTTAGGTTTTAAAAGTGAACAGTATTTTTGCATGCTGAATTTCTGCATATTTAATTTACGGCGACCCCCGTGGTTTGTTTTTTAGTTTATGCGCTTCGTTCAAATATATTTTTTTGAGTCTTATTCAGCTACTACAGAACTCCTGAGAAAAGAACAAAGTGGGAACTAATAAAATTAACACAGTTGAAATACGATTTATCTCAAAATAATTGGCTTGTTTATGTCGCCTTTTAGATGTACAACTTTCATCTTTCTTCCACTGCACTGTATTATTTTGTCGTGTGGCAAAGAAATTATCTGATTTCTTCTTTTTAAGTTGGTTTTTACACGTGTCTTTCACCTTTATTTTCTGGTGTTTTCTCAAATGTTGTCCGTTATAGTAAAAGAGTGGAAATTTTGTTGTATTCGGTCTCGTTTTGTCCCCTGGAGTAAAAAATTAACTCATTTTTGCATATTCAATTTTCTCAGCTTTTGTCGTGCAGCAAAGAAAAAAATATAATCTCTTGTTTTCTTATCAGTTTTACAGATCAAGTTGAGTTCTTTTTGTTGATATTTTTTTAATATTTTGGCCCTTCATTAATTCAACTTTAAATAAACGATGTTGTGAAACCTGATCTTGTGTCTGTGGTTACTGCACATATGGTTTATTTTTGTGCTTCTGCTCGCTCTGAAATATTTCACAAAAACGCCAGGGAATTATGGGTGGGTTGCGGGCAATTTCATGCAGGCATCAATGGGTTAAACCCACCAAAAAATCACAAATTCGTTACAGCCCCACATCTGGTCAAAAACACGAAACATTTAGTGACTCATACCCTATCAAAAACTTCGCTCTGTTCAATCCATAATCACTTTCACAAGCAAGGGACCGACGCTGAAAGGCTTCACTACTTTTATGGATTGCTGTTTAATAACAAGGGAGAGGAATGTGAATTATTTTGGAGTCATTGATTAAATGTTAATAAGATAATGATGTACTTTTGCCGAGCTCCATGCGTCGCAATAGTTATTCTGAATACACCAGCACTTAATATTTGAATGTAATATCTTACAGAAGGTTAGTTAAATATGACTTTTCTGCCATAGTTTAAGTCCAAACACTGAGGAAATCAAATGCGAGAAGACATTTTCACATTCCTTTTGATTATCTGGTGACAGGCACTTGCCTACTGTTTTCGTTTCTAGCGGGGTGGTGTTGTGATTATCATGATTTTGAGACCATTAGTACTCAGCGCTGATGAAAAGCCCAAAAATCATTTTTACACCAGGTTTTACTCTTACATTTCTTCTTTCGAAATGTCAGAATTTTAGGTGTTTCAGTGTTTTACCGGGTAGTAAATTTGCCGATTGAAAAAGTGTTCATAATTAGGAATTCTGAGGAAGCAAATTTTAGTGATTTTAAGCAGCTCGTCGTGACCTTGAAAATTAACCCACAGAACCATAATTGGCTTCAAAAGACTTGTTAATCCCTTAACAATAAATTTCCAGGCTCAAACTGGAATGTTATTGTGATGCAGAATGGGCAGAGTGAAGTTTATGATAGGGTATGAGTCACTACATTTTGGGTGTTTTTGACCAGACATGGGACCGTAACGAATTTGTGATTTTTTGGCGGGTTTAAAAAACTATTTCAAGAAAAAAAACCCCACCACATTTCTAGGCTTACCATAGGCTATCTCTGGGAGGAAAATTTAAAAAAATATCCATTTTTCATCTTGTGCCACGACTGGCTCCACATTAGTGAACATTCCCTCTTAATAGTGCATGAATGTAGTGAAAACTCAAGATGTAATCGGATCGTCACATTTACAAAGAGGCAAGATGACATCTGAAATGTAAGCTGCCTTTGCTTCTACTCAAATCCCTTCTAAGTGGCTCAAAAAGACCCAGGAACACAGGTTCAGGTCCCCTGTGCATTGGGCGAGCAAGGAGATTTTCATGAACACAAATCAAATGGGAGCTTTAAAATTGCTTACAGGTCAAACTTTAAGCTTGTTTATTTGTTTTTAAAGCGGTGATGCAGTGAATAAAATCCCAACTTGCGGTGTTGCCAACTAGCGCCCGTTTTATGAACCTCATATTGCAGTAGAAGTTTTCATGGAGTGCTACACCTGTATGCTTTAATCACCGATCACTTTGTACTTCTTCCCTTGCATGTACACATAAAACGGTGGCGTGTTCCCATGGTTAGCAACATGGTTTGGTCTGTTGTGGAAGTTCTTTTAAGCCCTATGCCTGAACTCATTGGTTAATGATCATTTCTACATAATAAACTCTATCACTCTACAATGACACATACCTAGATAATGAACTCTACAGCTCTACGATCATGCATATCTAAATAATTAACTCTATGGCTCTACAGCTCTACGGCTCTACGGCTCTACGGCTCTACAGCTCTACGATCACAAATATCTAGATAATGAACTCTACGGCTCTACTGCTCTACCATCACACATTTCTACACTACTAACGTACTGCAGGAAAGTAAAATATATATGGTCGCACTAACATCCTGAAGGAAAGGCAAATATACAGTCGTACTAATGTACTGAAGGGAAGTAAAATATATGGTCTTACTAATGTACTGAAGGAAAGTAAAATATACAGTTGTACCAACATTCTGAAGGGAAGTAAAATATATGGTCTTACTAATGTACTGAAGGAAAGTAAAATATACAGTTGTACTAACATTCTGAAGGGAAGTAAAATATATGGTCGCACTAATGTACTGAAGGAAAGTAAAATATACGGTCGCACTAACATACTAGAGGAAAGTAACATATAAGGTCGTACTAATGTTCTGAGGGAAAGTTTTGGTTGAGGACATAAAGATCAACAATGTTTAGCTGCTCTCATGGAGTCTAGGAGCCTCTAGAACGATCTTGTCCATGGAACGTTCGAGGACCACAGACTTGGTTTCCAAAGTGACTCTCCTGACAAGCCCGTCTCTCAAGTTTGGTTTTACTTCCAGGTTGTGACCAAGGGACCACAAGTGTCTTGGGGAATTCTTGTCTACCATGAGTACAATGTCTCCAGCTTCAAAGTTACACTTTACCCTTGCAGTGATTGCCTTCTCAGTTATAGCAATTCAACTCCCAGATACTGACTTTTAAAAGAAACTCCAACAAATGGAATAAAACTAAGCATAAGCCCACAAGTACGCATTGCAGACCTATTTTTTTATTTGTTGCATGATCAGTCATCAAGATGTGTTCTAAATAGAAATAAACACAAAACCAACTGATACAGCTATTTTATGTAAAAATAACTACAGCAATGTCTCTTTGCACATGAAAATGTTTTTGCCAGCAAGTGGTATTAACAAGAACAAGCTAAAATAATAATTGAAATTAGTCAATTGATTAAGGAAAAAAGCTTACCTGATACAGATAACAACACAATGCAATATGACAAACAAATAGCACATAGGCAGAAATATGATAGAACAAGGCACCTAAAGGCGATTCCATAGGATGCTTTGGCTAGAGAGCATACATTGTAGCATTGGAATGAAATGTGAAGTTACAGTTAAGTGCCACGATTAGTCAGTTAGATCAGCCATAGAAATCACTGTAGAAAGTGATGAAGAAACTGTCACTGTGTTTGTAGTGGAAAATAGGGTAGGCGGAAAATTATTGTTTGAGCAGAGTCTCCTTCCCCGACTCCTATTTCTTCTTTCCGTGTGATCTACAACATGGAATGAGAGTGTGCGTGGTGTTTAGAAATGGCATCGAAACTGGCTGAAGTAATATTGCAACGTGGAAAATGGATTTTTTTTTCTAATGAGGCTGTATCACTTACGTTGAGAACTGCCAGAAAATCTTGAGACATGAATGGTAATGCAATGTTTTCATTATTTGAAGAGCTAATATATTGTGAAGGGCTGTATTGCTGTCAATGAACGTAAAGAATCTACTAAAAATATTAACAGGCTGAAGTACTGATTGTCTGTTATATAATTAAGCTCTTTTCTGTGAGAGAAGAACTGAAGCACATTAACAAAAGTATTGATTGTCCTTAGAGGCTCACTT